GAAAGAAATGGGAAGCTATTAGAGCCATATACTCACATCTAATTAAATCCAATAAGATTACTTTCTGTTAATGTGTCGACAGCGGAGCTGTTCTGAATTCCTCCTCCCATCTCGCGCCTGCTGATGAATGTGTGGGTGTGTTAAGCTAGCCCAGCATGCTGGGGCCTGAGTTCAAGGCTTTGTGTTTCTCCTGATGCTGTGGGTGACGTGACCTTCCCTTACAGTACAGGATTCGAACTACCGTGTCTCTCTTTGTTAGCATATTCTTTTCAGTTCAGTTAATGATTTGGGAGTGGGCACATTTTTCTTACTCTCTTTCTTTTGTTGTTGTTAAAGTCAATAGGCCCTTCTATACTGACTTCAAAAAGTGTACTTATCTAAAGGGTCTGGTACAATAGAAAACTAACTGCCTAACTGCTATAGGGGCAAAAATACACGAAGCTTAACAGAGAAATGCTGTCTGCCTGCTTACCTCTTAAAGACAGTGGTTTGCCTGGAATACTGAAAAGGCAAAGAGTTCATTTGCATTTACATCTTAAGCCTTTCCAGAAAATAATATACAGATTTAAAGCCTGTCTTAATCCTTCAATTGAAAATTCCATCTGTCCTGGGTGTTTCGGTATTAAATCTAGATCAACCTCTGTGGGTACGTGGTGAATGAAGTTGATTCTTCTCCCTTTGCTCCCATGAGGGTCCTCCCTCTCTCTGCCCTTTCTCAAAAAAATCTCCCCAGCCTGACTCTCTGTGAAATACTTGCATAGGGCTCCAAAAATTCCTATCAGATGTGGATGTGCCCTACTCAATCAAGCAGACCTTCTTAGGTCTTACCTCAATCAAAATGTAACTGCATGCAGTAGCTGTATTCCCTCAGGCCCCATTTTTTGCTTTCAGCTCAGAAGGCAACCAATCTACTTAGCTAATCTGATTAATTAAGCAGGCAGGAGCCTTTTCCTCCTGGCTAACAACATAGCTGGTTGCCTATCGGAACCAGTGCTAATCTTTGTTGTCTAACCTTGACCCTGATTTCTTTTTTTTTCTTTCTTTTTAAGTTTGTTATTATCACTTAAAAAAAATTCTAGCCCTGAACACAAAATGGGCTGTTTCTGTGGGTACCCAGGAGAAAGAGGACTGGACTTTGTTCCTCTGGAATCTTAGTTTCCCTCTCTGTAAATTAACAGGGTTAAACTAAATCAGTAAAACATCAAAAAATTTTGAGAACCAACATAGGGCTTTAAGATCATTAAAAAGCCCCCAAACCCCCAACGATTATCATCTATTCATTATTTCATACAAGAGAGAACATTTTTAACGTTACCACCACCACCAAAGCATAATTTCAGAAAAAGGACAATTCTTTTCTTCTTCTTTTTTCTTTTTTTATTATGGTATTTTAATCACCATACATTACATCGTTAGTTTTTGATGTAGTGTTCCATGATTCATTGTTTGTGTATAACACCCAGTGCTCCATTCAATATGTGCCCTCCTTAAAACCCATCACCAGGCCAACCCATCCCCCCACCCCCCAAAAGGACAATTCTTTAAATTGAATACATTTATTTTTATAAAAATTCAATACACGTCCTTATTTATCTGTTTTTCATTTCAGCACTTGTCAGTGAAAACTTTGTCATAGACTAGCTGCTTTTGAGACCTTTTCTAGTTCTAAAAATCTATACCTCTAAAATAATACCTCTAGTCTTGTCCAAATCTGACTTGGCCTCCAGGATGAGTTGGCTTCTGGATATCTTCATATCTCTCATATCTAGCACAATGCCTGGGATAGATGAAATAATTTAAAGTTTGAAATGATCCCTGCTGAACTATAGTCATGGATATATACTCCTTATGAAAGGAGTATATCCTAGAAGTAGGCTACAGTATATCCCAGAAGGAGGTGAAGTGTACTTCCAGCCTCGTCTAAGATTTGTAGCAAGCAGTCAGGTTAGTCCTAGGCTCTAGGATTTACAACCTAAGTCTTTCATTCCTGCCCCAAATTTGAATCTGAATTTTTCTTTCTTTTTTTTTTTAAAGATTTTATTTATCCATTTGAAAGAGAGAGAGAGAGAGAGACAGCACAAGGAGGGGGAGTGGCAGACTCCCCGCTGAGTAGGGAGCCCGACGTGGGCCTCAATCCCAGGACCCTGAGATCATGACCTGAGCCAAAGGCACTTAACTGACTGAGCCACCCAGGTGCCCCAAATCTGAATTTTCAAAAGTGAAAAATCAAAGGGCACCTGGCTGGCTCAGTTGGTAGAGTATGCAACTCTTCATCTTGGGTTTGTGAGTTTAAGCCGCATGTTGGGCATAGAGCTTATTTAAAAAAAAAAAAAAGATGAAAAATCAGACTAACCATCACTCTTTAAAAGGGCATTTCCCCATGTACTCCTAAAGGCCACCCTTTCCATAACAGAGGCAGTAAATTTATTTGAGAGCCAGCGTGCCTGGATTCAAATTTTGGTTTTGCCACTAACTAGGTGCATGTGCTTGGTCAAGATGCCCCCATTCTGTGCCTAAGATTCCTTATTTATAAAATGTGGGTAAAAACTGTCAACTTCATAAGTTGTTCTGTGGATTAAATGAGTTGATATACTTAGAACAGTGCTATTCACAGTTAAGTGTTCAATTATAATTTTGACTAATGTGTCTCAAGAAACATGGAAATAGAAGAACTTTTTAGTTTTATTTATTTTGAAAGATTTTTATTTATGAGAGAGAGTGCGCGTGCATGAGTGGGGGAAGGGGCAGAGGGGAAGGGAGAAGGAGAAGCAGACTCCCCGCTAGTGTGGAGCCCGACTTGGTGCTCAATCCCAGAACCCTGAGATCATGACCTGAGCAATTCAGGCATTTAACCCACTGAGCTACACAGGTGCCCTTTAAGGTTTTTTTAAGTAATCTCTACACCCAATATTGGGGTTGAACTCATGACCCTGAGATCAAGAGTTGCAGCCTCTTCCTATGGAGCCAGCCAGGTGCCCCCAGGGGAATAGAAGAATTTTTTTTTTTTTTTTTTTTAAAGGATTAAAATGGGGACGCCTGGCGGCTAAGTCGGTTAAGCATCTGCCTTCAGTTCAGGTCATGATCCCAGAGTCCTGGGATCGAATCCCACATCAGGCTCCCTGCTCAGTGGGGAGCCGGCTTCTCCCTCTGCCTACCACTCTCATGCTTGCTCAGTCTCTGTCTCTGACAAATAAATAAAATCTTTAAGGAAAAAAAAAGAATTAAAATGATCCTAAAAGAAGTGCTGATGCATTTAGAATTATTAACACCGAAGGGGACTATCATCTGTGAAAATTAATTAAGGAAAGCCTCACTATAGTGGACTTGGGGTACTTGAAAGGGGAGGCTGGTAGGAAAAGCCATACCCCTCAATGTCAATTACAGACCCAACAGAAGAATCTTCAACAGGAAAGAATCATCAGTTACAGACCCCAATAGAGGAAGATGTCTCTTACATCTCCTACAAGAAATTGACTATCTCTGAAACTCAGCCAAGGAGAAACCAACATCACCCAGCACTCTTGCTTTTCTCCAATGGATTTTCATTCAAAACAACCTCTCCCAACTTCATTCTTCTCCATAAAAAAATATTCCTCTTTTTTGTTTGTTGGACTTGCCTATGGTTTTGCTGTAGCTTGCTTGTCCTGGATTACCATTCTCTGCTATTCCTGTTTAAACCTATTTTTTGCTGGTAAAATAACTGGCAGTTTATTTTTAAGGTTAACACATCAAATTCCATAAAATCAAGAAGGCAATTATAAACCTTATAAAACTACTTTCTCTCAAAGGATAACAGAGATTGAATATATAAATAGGTTCAAAATTAATGAAATTAATTTTGAATTAAAATTAAAATTAATGAATGAATGCATAATAGGTTATTGAGAGAACTGAAATGGCCTATGGCATATAATTACTTTTCTAAAGTGGAATATAGGGAACCAAATCCTTCCTACAAATGAGAAGTAGAACTCTTGTCAGCACATTAAAATGACTTTGGAAACTTAAGAGTACCAATGCCAAGGACTCAAAGCAGAGCTACTAAATTGAGAATCTCTAGAGATGGGGCCCAGGTACTGGTATTTTTTAAAAAGCTCCCCACTTCTATATATACCTACTTCTAAAGATATACCAGAGTTTGGAAACGGCTGGGTAAGTCAGGTTCTTTAGAGCAACTTGTCTTAACTCTTGTATATAATTTTTCCACGACTAGAATTCCATTCCTTCATTATTTTCTCATTCTTCCCCCCCCCCCGCCCCCCTTCTGCTGTCTCCTTTAGCTTCTGTTCTACTGTGCCTGGTACTTTACAACCTTCCTATGAAAATGAGCGTTCATGCATAGGTGGACACGCAGTAAGTATTAGACAAAATAATAATAACAATGACGTGTGCCTGCTCTCCCCAGATTAACTGAGCAGACATACCAGGCTGTAACGTCCTGTAGGACTACCCAACAGGTGGATGTAACAGTGTAGCATTGAGAGCTGCAGTGTTCTGTGTTGGCCAAGGAAGTAAAAATACGAAGCAGCAGCTACAAGGGAAGAACGAAGTGACAGGTCGGCTGTCTGATTTTCTGAATCCTTAATGTTATCGGGACTATTTTTTCTGGGAAACAAAATCTCCAAACACCAAGAAGCTGCTTTGCATCGCCAAAAGCTGCATAAGGGCAGGCTGCCAACAGGACTACCCAAGCACGCTGCAGTGGCATCTCCAAGCAAGTCCCTTTAATCTGCTGTCTCCTGGGCTAATCCCCACTGCGGTGCAACTGGACAACCCCCACCTGCGCGCGCCGCCCTTCCTGCCCTAGGCCCCTGCAGAGACGCACTCAGCCGTGCACGCCACCCTTCAGCCGTGCACGCCACCCTCCAGCCGCAGTGCGCGGCCTTGGCGTTGGCGGTGCGTGCGCGAAAGCGTAGAGGGGCGAGCCGAAGCCGGGGGAGGCGGGGCATAGACTCACAGTCTGCAGTCCATTGGTTCTCTCCCCGTAGTCCCCGCCCCCAAGCGTTCGAGACGGTGGGGCGGGCCACGTCAGGCAGCCGGCGCGGGGCTCCGCTCGTAGCAGAAGGGAGGTAAGCGATGCGGGTTGGCGGGCGGCGAGCTGCGGGCTGCTGCCCCCTGCTCAGAGGCCGCGGCCTCGCCCTCCACTGTGGCCTGCCTCAGCTTGGCGTGGAGGGCGGCTGAGGCCCTGCGGGCCTGGGGCTGTGCTGGGAAATGGGGAAGGGGAGCATGTGGCGGCAGGGCCGCGCCGGGGCGTGGGTGGCCCGTAAGGGACAGGTCTTGCTCTTTGCCCTCGTCCTGTCTGGGCTCAGAACTCCAGGAGGACAAGGCCTGCTGCGTAGGAGAGCTCCGCGATGCCTGGGCGGGGCCGGCCCCGGTGCCTGCGGTGGGGCTCAGCGGGATCTTGACTCGGAAACATCAGCGCGATCCTTGCAGACTTACCTGCAGCAGGTTGCAGTTCCTCCACTCTTCCCTGACCGGTTCCCTAGTTAAAGGCAGTGCAGGGGATTCCGGGCCGGTTCCTGGTTGGCTGGGGGGACGGTCTTATTATTACCAGTGACTCATTCAGATCCTGTCCACTTCAGTGCAAAGGCTTATGGGTGAGCAGGGCCTGTTTTCAGACTTCTTGATTCTCTGGCTCTGTCCAACCTTGCGGGAATTACCTGAAAAAATAGCATATATGTGTGGATGTATGTTTTGAAATGCCTGCAACAGCTATGCGGAGATTTGCAGAGACTTGGCTGTTGTGTTACACATAGGAGTTGTGTGTTGCACCATGAGTTTTAATTTCATCTGTGGCATCGTCATGATCCTCAGTTCAGCTCCTCAAATTGGAGCTTCTAAAATCAATGAAGTCATCCTATCAAGTATCATGCAGTCATTCATTCATCCATTCAACAAACTTTTTGGTTGAATTCCTTGATGGTCAGGGTCTTATGTCAGAAACTAAAATGGGCATTCCCTGCCTTTTCTCTCATTTTATCTGCCAGTTTTATTGTCTAGATTTGAGATGTAATTTTGTTATTGTTTTTGATGGTTCAATTTCAGGTTCCAGATTTAGGTACAGAAGCTTATATAGAGCTATTCTGAGACCTCATGCGGTTTTTCTTACTTTCTCCTCCAGTAAACTTCAGACCATGATGTTTAATCCTGCTAACTGTACTATGGAAGACCCTAGGTCTCAGGTGCCTATCTGTAAAGTGAGGGGATAGGATTAGAAGTATTCCGTAATTTTTATTTTTTTTAATTTATTTTTTATTTTTATTTTATTTTTTTTTAAAGATTTTATTTATTCATGAGAGACAGAGAGAGAGAGAGAGGCAGAGGGAGAAGCAGGCTCCCAAGGAGCAGGAAGCCCGATGCGGGACTCGATCCCAGGACCCTGAGATCATGACCTGAGCTGAAGGCAGACGCTTAACCATCTGAGCCACCCAGGCGCCCAGTATTCCGTAATTTTTAGATATTCAAGGAGAGGAGGGGCAATTGGCATGTGTTAACAGTTAACTGAACTGTGTTAACAGTTGAGAAGTGACCATTTTAAAAACACAATGTATATTATGATTATATGCTTTAATCTTTCTGAATCTGTCCACATTACTTTTTGACTGGCAAGCAAGTGCATATTTACAATTTTGATTCACATTCAGTTCCTGCATACAAAGCACTATGACTCATCTAAATTTGGAAATGTAATAATCAGAAGCTTTTTAATGTTATGTTTAAAGGTATGATATAAAAACAATTAGGGGTGCTTGGGTGGCTCAGTTGGTTAAGTGTCCCACCCAGGATTTGGCTCAGGCTCAGGTCACTGTGCTCCACGGGGAGTCTGCTTGAGATTCTCTCCCCCTCTCTGCCCCTCCCCCCCATGTGTGCTTGTGCTCTCTCACTCTCTCTAAAATAAATAAATCTTTAAAAAATTGTATAAGATGCAATTTTCAAAGTAATTTCAGTTGCAGTGGTAGATTAGTGGTAGCTAAAACCTCTGCTTTGGTTATCTTGCTTACTTGGTTAAATGTTAGGTAGTTATCATCACCTGGCTAATACCTATCAATATCATGTATATGTTAGCATTTATTTTATCAAGCTAAAAGTTACTGGATTTCAATTGATTGCTACTTCCACTTGAGAATTGATAACCATAAATAATAAGTGGCTCTTCCACTTGAGAATTGATAACCATAAATAAATCAATAGCTTGAGAATGAAAATGCCCATAGAGATATAACAATAGCTTTTCTTTTCTTTTCTTTTTTTTTTTTTTAGGATTTTATTTATGTGAGAGAGAGAGTCAGCAGGAGCGGGGGAGGGGCAATGAGAGAGCGAGAAGCAGACTAGCTGCTGAGCATGGGCTCAATCCCAAAAGCCTGAGATCAGGACCTGAGCTGAAGTCAGATGTTTAACCAGCTGAGCCACCCAGGCTCCCCATAACAATAGTTTTTCATTTGCCGTTTGGTTGATGGGACTTAAAAATAAATCATTTGGCCTTCCTGCAGGTGTAAAATGATTTCTAAAATATTTCTGAGGCATTAAAGTCATAGACTTGTGATACTTTTTGGATGTTGTCCACAAACCATTATGTGAATTAAATTGTTTATGTTACTATTAGGGATTTGGAAAGTTTAAGGAAATACAGCTTTTCAAAATTTTGCTTTTGCTATACCTTTCTAGTTCTAGAAATGGCCAGATGGAGATGGGAAGATTGAAGAGAAATGCAAGAACTGAGGGGAAAAAATCCAAGAGGAGGCTTTTCTAGTTCAAAATTTGAGAAAAAACACAATGAAAAGTACAATTATAACTATATTTAGAAGAAAAGTAAGGAAATAATAGTGTCAGGATTATTGGTAGGTCTGTAGAACAACTTGATTTTTTTTTTTAAAGAATTTATTTATTTATTTGACAGAGAGAGAGCGCAAGAGAGGGAACACAAGCAGGGGGAGTGGGAGAGGGAGAAGCAGGTTTCCCGCCGAGAGGGGAGCCCGATGTGGGGCTCGATCCCAGGACCCTGGATTCATGACCTGAGCCGAAGGCAGATGCTTAACAACTGAGCCACACAGGTGCCCCCTCAACTTGATTTTTTTAATTGTAGTATAATTGGCATATAATATCCCTATTAGTTTCAGGTGTATATCATAGTGATTTGATATTTTTATACATTATGAAATCCCCGTAAGTCTAGTTACCATCTGTCACCATGCAAAATTCTTACAATCTTAGTCACTATATTCCCTAGGCTGTATATTACATCCCCATGACTTACTGATTTTATGTCTGGAAGTTTGTACCTCCTAATCCCCTTCAGCTATTTTGTGTGCCTCCCAAATACTACCCCCTCTGGTAACCAACAGTTTGTTTACTGTATCTATGACTTTGTTTCTGTTTTGTTTGTTTCACTTAGCACAATACCCTCCAGGTACATCCATGTCGCAAATGGCAAGATTTCATTCTTTTTTTTATGGCTGAGTAGTATTCCTCTGTGTGTGTGTGTGTGTGTGTGTGTGTGTGTGTGTAAATAAAATACACCACATCCTCTTTATCCATTCATCTGTCAATGGACATCTATTAATGGTTCTTAAAAAAGAAACCCAGTGTGATAATTTAAACTTTGATCACATTACATGTGGGTAAATACTTTTTTTTTTTTTAGGAGATGTGAAATCTGTATCATGTGTGTACATGTATATTTTTTTAAATTTTATTTAAGTAATCTCTATATCCAGTGTGGGGCGGGAACTCATGACCCTGAGATCAAGAGTTGCATGCTTCGGGGCCCCTGGATGGCTCAGTCAAATCTTTAAAAAAAAAAAAAAAAAGTCACATGCGTCTCCGACTGAGCCGGCCAGGCACCCCTGTATTGTATATTTTTTTAAAAAGTGCTACAGGTCTAGAGATAAGTAGTATAATAAAATATGGTATACTTACGTCAGTATAAGTCTGTGATTCATAATTCATGATAAATTGGATCGAGGTAGTGTGTACTATTTTTTTTTAAGATTTTATTTATTTGAGAGAGAGCAGAGAGAGCGAGTGAGCATAAGCCGGGGGAGTGGCAGGGAGGGGGAGAAGCAGGCTCCCCACTGAACAGGGAGCCCAACACGGGGCTCGATCCCAAGACCCTAGGATCACGACCCAAGCCAGACGCTTAACCAGCTGAGCCGCCCGGGCGCACCAGTGTGTACTATCTCTACATGATAGGAAACAAGATGTGCTAAGCTTATAGGACAAAGGATGTTTATCAGTTTTTCTCCCATTTAAATTATTTGAAACTTTCAAGCAACGTGGAAGATCCCATCTATTTTCAAACAACAGATTCAGCATTGTTGTTTTTATAAATTGAGTCCCCAAGGTACTACTGGCTTCATAATTTTTTACCCTATTTCAAGTCACATTGGAAGTAATAACATTGCATTTATGATTTTGAAATTTTGTTAAATTTATATTTGCTTTCATTCATTTAGACTGAGTTACTTTAGTTTTTATATTGTGAAGATGTTCAAAAGCTTTGATATTAAATACCATATAGTTTTCCATTGTTCATTATGGGAAAACATTTCTTTAGGCCCAAGGAGTTTGAAAATCCAAGCTGCATAGATAGTCAGCTGTTATTATTATTTATTTAGAGATTTATCTTTTCATTTGCCTGGGGACCAATGAAGCAGTCCACCCAAGCTTCTAAACTGAAGATTTCGGTTCTTTTCAGTGCATTAAACTGTATCTTCAGACCTCATTTTGCTTGCTAATTTGGCTGATAAGCATGTTGAACAAATGTTACAATTGTGAATGTTGTAACTATAGTTTTGTTAAGAAGTTTTCTGGCTGCCAGGGTGTACTTTTCTCTTGTCTCTTTAAAAACCTTTTCCTTTAGCTTAGCTGCTCTCAGAATTTTTTTTTTTTTTTTAGTATTTTTATTCATAAGAGACAGAGAGAGAGAGGCAGGCTCCCCACTGAGCAGGGAGCCCGATGCGGGACTCGATCCCAGGACCCTGGAATCATGACCTGAGCCGAAGGCAGACGCTTAACCATCTGAGCCACCCAGGCACCCTCAGAGTTTTTTTTAAAAGATTTTATTTATTTG